TTTAATAGGTGTAAGTTATAAATATAAAAAAGAAATAATTTTATATTATATATAACTATAATTTTTATGGATTGAATAAGTAATAAATATTTTAACAAAATCATAATGTGTTTTTAAATTGAAATAACAATAAATGTTGCCATAAAGTCTAAAGATAGCAATTCAACAAATAATTCTTTATAACAATTTCAAATTTGAGGAGTGAGTAATTTTTTGAAAAAATTGATTTAAAATCTATTTAATTTGGATAATTAATGCGATGTTAGTGTGATGTTTTTACTTATTTATGTATTTGTTTTGAGATAAAAATAAAAAATAAATCAGAAAAAGATAAAAATAGATATTGGTAAATGCTGGCCATTGGAGGCGCCACATTAGCGGATCAAGATTCAGATTTATATATATATATAGATTCTACTTTAAAATTAATAAATTTATTTCCAAATATGACAAATAAAATGGTACGAGTATTAGATGTGGTTGTCTCATTTATGTATGTATCTCCTTCATATTTTTTCTGCTCATTGCTTTTGGTTCTTCGCCTAATCTTTTGCCTCTTGCTCGAAATTGAGCACAGGAGTGTAGAGAGGAGTATTTTTTCAAAGGGTGGTTTGCCCTCTCTGCAACTCAAACGATCTCTCATGTGAAAAAAAAGGGAAAAAAAATCAAACAACCCTTCAAATTTTTGACTCAAATGGCTCTATAAGTTATGGGGTTGAACTAAATTCATGAGATTTGGAGAATTTTGAGGTTTCAATTGATACTTGGCAAGAGAAATTTAGAGACCCGTATCTTGGCGGGGCGACCCGGAATGCAACCCGAGGTTTGCAGCCATGGCTATGTTTCATCCTCTTCTCTTGTGTTATATCAACTATCCAAGCTTCACATTTTACTCTTTACAGCTTGTTTGGATAGTTGTTATCTTCTGTATTATGTTGTTACTCTAAAAGGGTGTGTTTGCATGAAGGAAAATGTTCTTTTTTTTTATGATGAATTTCATTTTCATCATTGTTTGGTTACTAATGTTAGTCTTACCCGTATCTTGGCTTGGCAAATCATGGGATGGCCTGCAACTAAGGCTCTCTCTTTTGCATGCAACTGGTGATTTTGCAGCCATGGCGTGGTTGCCTTCTCTTTTGTTGAGCCAAGTTTTTATTTGGAACAACCTCTCTAACATTGCAAAGGTATGGGTGATTTGTGTACGCGGTACACCTCACCGTCCTCAGACCCCACTTGTGGTACTGATGAGTTATAAGGAAGTTCAACTGTATCACAAAAAGATGGGTGCTTTATCTGTTTTTTTAGATATAAGCACATGATATTAGAGACATTAACCTAAGCGTTCTCGTAAGACGACATTTATGCTAAAAAGCACTTTGCTTTTTCAGTGAATGTTGTTGATAGATAGATATATAGATAGAGAATATGAGGCTGTGATGATATTTTTTCCCTTCTTTTTTTGAGCAATTCAATAGGGCAAGAAAATAGAGTGACTGTATCTTGATTCTTGGCGCGGCAATCCGGATGGCTAGTGATTTTATGTCATGCAACCGGTGTTTGCAGCCATGGCGTTGCCTTCATTCTCTTGTCTTATTGATGGATCTGAGCCTCCATTGTACTCTTAGGGTGTCTTTGGTTGATGGAAAACATTTTTCAAGATGAAATCAGCACGTGGTCACCGTTGTATCCCTTGAGGAGGGAAAATTTGTAAAATTTTCAGGTGAGAGCCGAGGATTCCTAAAAGAAATCGGCCCAGAAAGAGAAATGAGGCTAATAAAGAGAAGGGATTTTCTTCCAAGGGTGATTGTCCCTCTCTGTGTGCCGATGCTTTTCTGTAGCTACTAAACCAACTATTTATATTTATATCAGAGAGATTTTAACTAAGAGAACTTGTTAGTCTGCAATTACACCAAAAGCACTTTGCTTTTTCAGTGAATATTCTTGATACATATAGATATATAGATTAGAGAATATGAGGCTATGATGATATTTTTTCCTTTCTCTTGTTGAGCAACTCAATAGGGCAATAAAACAGAGAGACCCTATCTTAGCGAGGCAAGCCGGATGACTAGTGATCTTGTGTCATGCAACTGGTGTTTGCAGCCATGGCTATGCCTCGATTTTCTTGTCTTATCAATATATCTGAGCCTCAATGTTACTCTTATGGTGTCTTTGATATGAATGGAAATATTTATTATGATGAAATTAGTATTTGGTTTCTCATGCACCCCTTTTAAGAAGAGAACTTATGGGAAATTTAAGGTGAGAACAAAGAATTCTCTTGATATAGAAGTCGGGCCAGAAAAAGAAATGAGGTTATAGAGAAGGGATTTGTTGTCAAGGTTGTTACCCCTTACTGTTGCACCAATGATTTTCTTTAGCAACTAGATCAAAAAGCCTTGAAATACACAAAAATAGACATTCCGATCATGAATCTATTTCAATCTACAGCTTTAGCCATAAAATTGTCTCTTTGTCAGTATATGTGTTTGACGTGTTTTCTTTTCCTCTTTCTGAGTGAGTAATAGAGAGGCATTGAGGTGATGTTTCAATATCCTCGCTGGAAAAATATGTCCTGTATCTTGGTCTGGCAATTCCCCTCTTGTTTATTCAACTGGTGATTTTGCAATGGTTGCCTTCTTCCTTTTTCAAGCTGTTTTGAAATGCTTTACTTGTGGCGAGAGTCTATCGGAAACAACCTCTCTACCTCCACGAGGTAAGGCCGTAAGGGTAAGGTCATCATACACTCTACTCTCCCCACTCTTCCCAGACCCCACATGTGGGGTTACACTCGATATATTGTTGGCGTAGTTGCCTTCTCTTTGCCTGATCAAATGCAAAATCTGAGCCACAAATTTTTACCACTAGACCAAAACACCATACATTTTCAATCTAAGTGGTAAATAAGTATTCAGCAATTGAAAAACTAGAAAAATTGGTGCTTTAAAAGACTTACAGTGGCACAAGCAAATGATAAACAAGTCAGAAAATAGAATGAGGTTTGCGGAGATAGTTGTTCTTATAAGGGTGGTTGCCCCTCTCTGCAACTCCAGTGACTTCTCATATGAAACAGAATCTAACAGCCCTTCAAAACTCAGGAAAATTGTACTTGCAACTGGTTGTAATATTTGTCCAAATATTGATCACTCGGCCAATGTTACTCCGGTTCTTGTTATAAGGTTTTGGAACTCAAATGGTCCTTTTGTTTAGGAGTTGTACTAAACTCATCTCTGCACCCGCAAAAAATCGAGGCTGTGATAATGATTCCTATTTTCCTGAGCAAATGAATTAGGCAAGAAAAAATGGAAGGACCCGTATCTTGGCGGGGCAATCCGCCTGGCTAGTGACTGTGTCATGCAACCGGTGTTTGCAGCCATGACGATGTCTTCATTCTCTTGTCTTAATAACAGATCCGAGCCTCAACTTTACTCGTTAGGCTGTCTTTGGTATGACGGAACCAGTTTGTGGTACCAATGTATCCCTCTGAGGAGAGAAAAGTTTTAAAATTTACAGGTGAGAGACCAGAACTCCTAAAAGAGGTCAGTCCAGAAAGAGAAATGAGGTTAACAGAGGAAGGTTTTCCCTCTCTGCTGTGCCAATGATTTCCTTTTTAGCAACTATAAATCAACAACACTTGTTCATGAAATACACAAACGAATTGGAACACCTTAGTTGTAGATCATGAAATACACAAACGAATTGGAACACCTTAGTTGTAGACCTCAGTGTGTGTATGTGCGTGTTGTTTCCCCCGCTTTGGAGTAATTGTATCTTAATGTCAAGAGGCTGTGATGATAATAATGTTTAACTTTCTGGGGCATTGAGGACAGTCGTGTCTTGGCAAATCCAGAATGGCTGCAGCCATGGCGTGTATATATTAAATAAATTATTCCAAGGTTTCTTGACACCATAGTCTTTCATTACTCATATTAGAAGTGTCCTTCCTCTGAGGAGTATAAATAGAATAACCACAAAACATCTCCCACTCTTGACATTAAGATACTAAATGAAACCACAAAATTATTTTTGACAAACCAAGCCAATGAAATGGTCCATGTACGAATGCCAAAGAGTCCATATTAGACAACACAGAGTAAATGCGAGTAGGATGTTTATCAATTTTCTCCAGGAACCACTTTTGAGCACTAGAATTTCATTCTGTGATGTTTGATCAATCTTATCTTATCGTTATCACTAGTCAAGGCATATCCGAATCTGCAAATACAAAATTCCTTCGCTAAAATTTTTGAATAGGGAAGTACTATTGATCTTCTAGATCACCTGAAAATGTCTTTGGTGATGATTGCTTCTTTCTGTGCTATACTGCTAACTAGTTTACTGTTTTGAGAAAATTTGATCTGTAACTTGGCCGGACAATGGGGTATGTCCATCATAAGCAAATTAGTGTCTGCAGCCATGACGAGTGTTGCTTTCTCTTTTCATGATCATTTTTAGCACCATCCGAGCCCTGAAGGAGTCTTTCACACAACAATGACAATTTGTGCAGAAGGAAGAATGAGGCCAACAGAGAAAACAGGGATGTCTTGGAGGGTGGTTGCTCTCTCTGGCTGGCCTGTGATTTCTCCATCAACCAAACCAACAACCTTCTACTTTCCTTATCTTTCTACTTTGGTATATTGCGGGGTGTTCATGGTTTGGTTTAGTTTTGATCTATAAAGAAGGCAAATATCTGTTGTCATTGATGTGATGCTGATGTCTATAGTACTCGCTCCACTCATTTTATGTTTTAGAACTGTCCACAAATTGCTTTGCAAAAGTTTCTATTACCCGAGAGGCAATGATGATATTGCTTATCTGGGCTGATATTTGGGGCATGTGAGAAAACCGAAATCGTATCTTGGCTGGGCAAAAATCGGATCATATGATTTATTGTTTCTCTTTGCCCCGTATTGCAGAGCCTCAACTTCCAATTAATCTTTTAATAGGGGTCATGGCATCAGCTATCATTGCACTTCCTCAAAATACTATGTTGATAAAATCTGACCTGTATCTTGGCGGGGATATCTGGTATGACATCATTTGCAATCCGGTGTCAAAAATCACTATTTTCCCATTGAAGTTCCCCACTGAAATGTTTAGTAGCTATTCCAACAGATATTTTGATTAAATTAGTGAGAAAATAAAAAATTACTAGTGTTCGACTGTTTTCACATGGAAAAATTAGGAAGTTTCTTTGTGTTTCAATGAGAATCTGTTTCCCACCATCCATTTTCCGAGTGAGCTAATGAGCTAGTTCGGCAGGAAATCAAGTTTTATAACAAAAAATTTCCCTTGTTTCTAGTTGTGACAGCCATGGCATGGACTTTTTGTATGTTCATATAAAAGCAAAATATGAGCCTTGGCACACCCAAGGGTGTGACCTAGTGGTCAATGAAGTGGTTGAGAACTCTGAGGTCTCAGGTGTAATACTGAGTGGAGACAACAAACACTAGATGATTCTTCCCATCTGTCCTAGCCTTGGTGTGCAGAGTTACTTGGTGCCTGTTGTTTGTGGGTGGGAGGTGACAGGTATCATGTGGAATTAGTCGAGGTGTGCGAATGCTGGCCCGGACACCATGGTCATCAAAAAAATAAAAAAAGATCCATGACAATGTTTAGTGTATGTCTGAGAAAAGGATTCCCGAGCCTCCGAAAAAACATTTGTTTGTGTTCTAAAAATGAGGCTTTGATGGAACTCGAGAAAGATTGAGATTTTTGAAGGGTAGTTAGTCTATTTCTCTGAAGTTCAATTTAGCCAATGAATTTTCAAGTTGTTTTGTTATAAAGAGAAAACTTAACAACCCTATAAGAGAGAACAAACATTCCCCCCTCCCTCTAAACTTGTCCAGAAAAATCCAAATCCTAAACCCCAAAATTTGTTAATGAGGCTAGGATGATATTTTCCAGGAAGCTTGCAAGTCAGGTTTTTGAGCCGATTCATATCTTGGCTAGGCAAAGGCAAGGGAATATGTGAGGTGGATTCTTATGTGCTCACACACAAAAGGCCTCTCTTTTTGCAACCATTGTGGATTAAACTTTTTCTGATGGATCAAATCTGAGCCTCTTTGCTTGTTAAGTTTAGTTCTACAGTGAGTAGTCTGCTTCTTTCATCCTTTACAGATTTTTATGGTCATACAACAACAACATATCCAGTGTAATCCACAACTGGGGTCTGGGGTGGCTGGCGACTGGCTTGTACATAGCTACCTCTACCTTGTAAAGGTTGAGAAGTTGTTCCCGACAGTCCCTCGCCTCAGGTAAAGCATAAGTCTTACTTAATTTTTTTATGATCATGTTGTATGATATTGGTTTGAGCTAAGTGTAAACGATGACATTATGAGTATTCATATAGTTAATCCTAGGTTGTTAAATTGTCCAAACGCCTACTTGTGGGGAAGTTCCCATCTTTATATAGGGGCTGTAATGATAATGCTTATGCCAGAACCCTCATCATAGTTTAGCCCAGAACGGAAGAATGAGACATAAGAGAGATAGGGCTTTCTGTAAAGGGTGGTTGCCCTCTTTGGCCTCTGCAATGTCCATGATTTCTTCTCCATTCATAAAATACCAACAATTCTTTCAGTAGAAAAAAACAAGAATGTTGATTTTTGTGTACTTCTATGTCCTTGTAAAATTCAAGGTAGAAATGACACAAGGTAGCCATTTTTAACGGGACATTTAAAAGAATGTTGATTGGTCTGAAAATGGGCTATGATGATGATTTGCTTCTTTCTGGGCTCTAATCTACTTCATTGAATTGAGAAAATCCAACTCGTATCTTGGTGGACGACCTGGTAAGGCATCCCTTTGCAAGCCGGTGTCTTGCAGCCAAGGCGATACCACTTTCTTCTTGTATGTTTGTAGAATAGTAAAATCTGAGCCCAAAAGTGTACGTCAACCATTTAAGGTCTTTAATGGATGACCATTCTTCAGTTTTTGTTGAGCGCCCTATTTCTCAGATGAAGTTCTCCATCAAATTTTAGCTAAAAAATGAGGTAATCAGAGAAAAAAAGGGGATTTTCAGGGTGGTTGACCATTTCTGGTATTCCAGTGATTTTATCCTAAGTTGCTCGGTGTGGGTATGGGATTCCGCTTTTGGGTATTATATGACTCTTTTCTGTCTCTGTATCTGTGACTACTTTCCTCATGCGTGCTGCATTTAAGGGAAAAGCAGCAGCAAAAGCATAGAAAAGGAACAGGTAAGCACTTACAGGCTATCTGTTTAAATTATCTCTTAGATATCAGAGTGTGTTTACACAAAATGGAGGTTCATCCAGCCAACAGAGAGGAGAATTCTTGGAGGGTGGTTGCTCTCTCTGTTTGGCCCATGATTTCTCTATCAATAAAACCAACAACCCTCTTTTGGAAATACTTTTTATTTTATTTTATTTTTTGAAGTAAGTTGTTTCATTAGAAATCATCAAGCAGATGCATAATTACAAGTAGGTAAAAATACAAAAAGGGAATTATAGGCCCCTATACGTTTGTTCCTTGTAAATTTAGAGTATGAATGAACACCAACTGTTCAGTATTAGATAATGGGGACTACTTGGTCCAGCAAAAAAGCTAAACTAAGCATTTGGCTTTAAGAGCATGGACTGTCTCTTTGGAAATTCTAGTACATGTATTCTGATCTTGCTAAGCTTAATCCAAACATCCTCTGATCTTAGCATTTGTCTGTCAAAAATTGCTTGAAACTTTTTAAGCGGTCACTCGTGGGAAAGTTCCAATCTTTGAAAACTAAAAAGTTGATATGCTTATGGCAAAAACCCACCATAGTTAAGCCCAGAAATGAAGAATGAGACATCAAAGAGAGAATGTGATTTTCTGTAAAGGATGGTTGCTCATGTCTGCTATGTCCATGATTTCTTCTCCATTCATGAAAATCAACAACCCTTCGAGGGGAAAAAAACTAAAAAATGAGAAATGGGACTATATGATCTTGAGATCTTACATATTCTGCTTCTGCTGCTACTAGAACTGATAGTCACAAATTTCAACTTTTTATGTCCCTTTAAATACATGGTGAGATGACACAAGAAGGTAACCACTTTTAATGGGTAATATTAAAGAATGTCACTGCATACATTTTCCACGTTTTTAATGGTTTTAAGGCCACAGGATAACGGATGTTAATTGATGTGAAAAAAAAATGGGCGATGACGATTTGCTTCTTTCTTGGCTATAATATACTTCACTGTATTGGGAAAATACTACATGCATCTTGGCGGGGCGACCCAGGGCATCATCCATTTGCAAATCGATGTCTGCAGCCATCAAGTGTGTTGCTTTTTTTTTTGAATGCTTATTTACATCAAAATCTGAGCCCTAAGTTTTACAGATGGAAACCGGAAACCCTATTGGGTTATTCAGTTTTTCTTGAGCACTCAATGTCAGATGCAGTTCTCCATAAAATTTTACCTAAAAAATGAGGAAACCGAAGAATAAAAAGGAATTTTCAGTGTGGTTGACTATCTCCGGGTGTGCCTATTCTTCCTGTTTTGCTCTAATCAATAGCTCTTTAAGCTTATGTATGAGATGGTATATGAGGTGGTGTATCTCTCTCTCTCTCTCTCTATATATATATATATATATATATATAGGTTGCATTTCTCTTTCTGTGATTATTTTGCAGGGCGTGGCTGCATTTACAGGCAAAGCATAGAAAAATGGAGGTTCAGCCCAGTATAAAGAATCGAAAAGGGACAAATATATTCCTGTGCTAAAAAGAATGAGGCCAACAGAAAGATAAGGGAATTCTTGGAGGGTGGTTGCCCCCTCTGTTTGGCCTATGATTTCCCTATAAACAACATTAACAACCCTCTTCAGAAGTACTAGTGCTTTGCTGTTTCCTCTGAGCTTTAGACCAATTATCCAGCTAATATTTGCTTTGTAATTGTTCACAAGCTTGCTTGTGGGAGACTTTCCATCTTTCAAAAGAGGTTGTGATGATAATGCTCATGGAAGAACCCTCACCATAATTTAGCCCTGAAAGGAAGAATGAGATATCAGAGAGAGATGGGTTTTTCTGTAAAGGGTGGTTGTACCCTCTCTTCTATGTCCATGATTTCTTCTCCATTCATAAAATACCAACAGCCCATTCAGAAGAAAAAAAGAACAAGATTGTTGATTATTGTGTATATATATGCTTCTTCCAATTCCTGCTTCTGCTACTACTACTGTAGCTGGTTTTCACAAATAGTCACTTTTATGCCCCCGTAAATACAAGGTAGAAATGACACAACAAGGTAGCCGCTTTTAACGGGTCATTTACAAGAGTTTTGATTGATCTGAAAATGGGCTGTGTTTATGATTTCTTTTTTCTCTATAATCTACTTCATCGAGTTAAGAAAATCCGACCCGTACCTTGGCAGGAGGACTCGGTGAGGCATCCATTTGTGAACTGGTGTCTTGCAGCCATGTTGACGTCGCTTTCTCTTTGCATGTTTGTAGAAAAGAAAAATCTGAGCCCTAAAGTGCACGGCAACTATTTGATGGTCTAAAAAAAAACACCGTTTGATGGTCTTGAATGGATGGGCGTCCCGGTGGGTTCTTCATTTTTTGTTGAGCACCCCATTTTTCAGATGTAGTTCTCCATCAAATTTTTAGCTAAACAATGTGGTAATCTGAGAAAAAAAAGGGATTTTTCAGGGTGGTTGGCCATCTCAGATGTGCCAGTAATTTTATCTTTAGTTCTTACCAACAGCCCTTTTAGCATATGTATGAAGATATATATATATATATGTGTGTGTGTGTGTGTGCGTGTGAATATTATGTCTCTTCCTGTCTCTCTATCTATGGCTACTTTGATCTTGCGTGGCTGGATTTTCAGGCAAAGCAGCATCAAAAGCATAGAAAAGGGACAGTTAAGCAGACTTACAGGGTCTCTGGTTAAATTCTCTCTTACAAATCAGAGTGTTTTTTTCAGTTGCTTGGACTCTTCAAAAATGGCGACAGGTGCTTGTTGGATCCTTCCAAAATTGTGCATTTTTGGAGGATCCGACATTGGTGCGGCAGCATTTTCGAGAGTCCGAGTAACACATGTTTCTTTACTAAAAAATGGAGGTTCAACCCAGTATTAGGAATGAGGCCGACAGAGAGAAAAGGTAATTCTTGGAGGGTGGTTACGCCCTCTGATTAACCTATGATTCCTAATAAGCAAATTCAACAACCTTCTTCAGAAGTACTAGCACTCTTTGCTGTTTCCTCTGAGCTTAGCAAATTTACTCTGATCTCTTCTTATGTTTGTTAAAAATTGCTTGAAATTGTCCAACTGTCTGCACGTGGGAAAGTTTCCATCTTTCAAAAGAGGCTGTGATGATATTGCTAATATGGGTTGATTTTCGGGGCATGAAGACAATCTGACCCGTATCTTGGCATGGCAAACCCGGATGGTTTGTGATTGAGCCTTGTCATTCAGATGCAACCGGTTCCTTTGCCGCCATGGCGCTGTCATTTTCTCTTTGGCCCATTCTTTTTGAAGATCTGAGCACCACCTGAAACTAGATTTGGACTGGATTCGAACCCAGGACCTCTTGTTTGGTGACGATTTTGGTTATTTAGTTTTTGTTGAACACCTTATTGTTGTTCTCCATCAAAGTGTAGTTGAAAGAATGAAGCAATTGGAGAAAAAATGGTAGCTTCTCAAGATGGTTGACCATCTCCATCATGCTTATGATTTCTACATCTTTCAGCTCTAACTAATATTAAGGACCATTTTTTGATAATGTTCTCTGTTTTTTGTAACTGTTATACTCTGTTCCATGGAGGCTCCGGTTATCTGGAAAAGCAACAGCAAAAGCGTACAACAATGAAATGAAAAAGGAAAATAATGGGCTGTGATGATTATTTTACTGAACAAATGGAATCAGGCATTGTTGTTTCAGGCCCCTATCTTGGCAGGGCGACCGATATTATAGGGTTTGCAGCCATGACAGTGTCGATGCCTGAGATAAATTAAAGATCTGAGCCCAGAAGAAAGAATGAGGCCAACCAATAACCCTTTTCTTTTTTCCATTGGTATAGTCAGGGCACTCATGGTTCAGTTTTTAGTTTTGACCAAATAAGAACGCAATAACATCTGTCGCTATGATGTGATGTTGATGTCAATGGTACTTCCTCTTTTCCATTTTATATGTTGTGTTACTCTTCAAATTCCAAGTTTCCATCTTTCCGAAAAGGCAGTGATGATGTTGCTAACATAGGCTGTTATTTGGGCAGTGGGCAAGAGAAAACCCGACTCGTATCTTTGCAAGGAAAACTCAGATCATGCAATATGTTCATTTTGCAGCCATGACATTGTCATCTTCTCTTGCCCCGTTTTACACAGATCTGAGCCTCAACTTGCAAATTAGTAAGGGGTCACGCAATGGATATCTGTGCACTTCCCTCATGTTACTACAATAACAACATTACCCAGTGTGATCCCACAAGGTGGGGTTTGGGGAGGATGGGGTGTACGACTACTTATGCCTACCTGTGGTGGGGGTAGAGAGGTTGTTTCTGATGGACCCTTTGGCTCAAGAAAACATTTTTCAGAACTGGTTTGAAAAATATAAAAAGGTAGGATGCAAATACTGAAGAAAGGAAAGTATTGCCGACAAAAGTATATAGTAAAAATAAGCCCCATGTTAATGCATTGAGAAAACCCTACCCATATCTTGGCGGTGCGACATGGTATAGCATCATCTAGTAACCTATCTCTGGTTATGCTACCATCGCTCTTTTGGAGAAAATGAATACTGAAATGGGCTGTGATGATTGCTTTCTTCTGGTCTACATACTTGCCAGCTTTGAGAAAATCTGACATGTATCTTGGCCGGGCGGCCCGTTATGGCAACATTGCAGCCGGTGTCTGCAGCCATGGCAATGTTGTTGTTTTCTCTTTGCATATCTTAGTGTGGCATCTTTTGGGGTCTTGTGAGATATGGGAGCTATTTAGGTTTCTGTATCTCCAAAGACTTCTTAAGGTTGCAGGGGTTTAGCTTATGTCTTAGAAATGGTTAATCTGAGCCTCCAAAATATCTGCGTTTGTCCAAGGAATTAAGATTTTAATTGAACTTGAGAAATGTTGACATTTTCTGTGGGTGGTTATTCTCTTTCTCTAAAGTTCAATTTAGCCAATGAATTTGCCAGCACTTCTCTTACAGAGAGAAAGTTAACAAACCTCTTCATCAGCTATTGTCAATTATGCTCTTGATGATGATAATGATGATGATGATGATTAGCCATGGGTATGGCGCAATAATAAGGGAAAATACATATTCAAACCCCCCAACTGGTCCAGGAAAACCTGAATCCTAAACCCTGAACTTTGTGAATGAGTCTGTGATGATATTCTCCTGGAAGCTTGAAAATAAGATTTTAGAACTAATTAGTATCTTGGCTAAGCAAAAGCAAAGGAGTTGGTGAGGTAGGTATATATGCTTCTTACCAGGATATCTGCTTTTTGCAGTCATGAGAAGAGGCAGCGATGATGATGTTTCACTTTCCGAGCTAGCTGACTCTGGAACTTAAACAGTTTGACCCGAATCTTGGCCTGGCAAATCAGTGGATGGTTGGAATTTGGGATTCTCCCTTTGCACACAATCAGTGATTTTGCAGCCATGGCGTGGTTGCCTGATAAAGATCATATTTGAGCCTAAAATTCTGGGCATCGAACTTGAGTCCTCTTCCCTTTGAAATTCTTTAGAACTCAAGCATACAGTGGTACGAGCCAATAGAACAGATCCTGTTCAATTAAGGTCGTCATAAAATCCATTGATGTCTGCTCCTAGTTTGTAGCTCAAGCTCCAGATCTAAGAATGAGGTACTAGAAAAGATGTGTACTTTTTCTTCTTCCGTATGCCCATGATGTCAATGCCATAAACACTATACTTTCCCATTGACTGTGTTGACTAGATATATGGATATATAGATTGAAATATATCTGCATTTGCATTTCCAAACAGGCCCATATAAATGAATCTCTCGACAGCTACCCTGTGTGAAAATATACTATTGATTGAAAATGCTAGAGGAATGGATTAAACCTTGGAGTTTGTCTTTAACAGTGACATGCTCTAATGATGGCTTCTTTTTGGGCTATCTACCTTACTGCATTGATAATATCCGACTTGTATCTTGGTGGGGTGAGCCAGCATTGTATTTTCTGCAAACCAGTGTCTGCAGCCATGGTGTGGTGACTTTCTCGGAGCAGGAAAATGTTTTCCTCCTTGCCAAAACACACCCTATCTCTCTATAGTTAAAATTAATTCCAACACCATAGCACAATTAAAGATTCTTTTACTCAATAGTGAGAATCATCCCAGAAGGAAGAATGAATCCAACCACCCTCTTTTCTGTGTTAATTTTCCAAAAAGGCAAATATCTATTGCCATTGATGTGATGCTGAATATTGCTGATAGCTGCAGTAGTACGACTCCTTATGGTCCAGTTTACTTGCCTTGAAACTGTCCTCAAATTTGGACAGAACAGATTCCATCTTTCAAAAGAGGCAGTGATGATATTCCTAATCAGGGCTGAAAATTGGGGCATGGAGAACCCCGACTCGTATCTTGGCAGGGCAAACCCTGATCATGCATCTGGTTCATTTTGCAGCCGATGATGTCGTCTTCTCTTTTCCCCATTTGATGCAGATCTGAGCCTTAACTGCCAATCTGTCATTGTGGAATCTGCAAGACTCTAAATCAGAACCTCGTTAGATGGAAAAAAAACAATTTTGCCTCAAATGACTCCAGCATTGGGAGAAAATGTGGATATTTTCAGGGTGGTTGACCATCTCCTGTATATCAATGATTTCGTCTTTGCTCTAATCAGCTGTCTTTTTTGCTTTTGTATGCGGGCAGAAGTGCACAGATAATCAATTTTAGGACTGCTATTTAGGTAGTAGTCGGAGTTGAGCTCATTATGAAAACCTGTCTGGTTTGTGATGGGGTGTTCTCTTTCACATTTAACCGGTTCTTTAGCAGCCATGACATTGTCATCTTCTCTTTTCTTCATTTGTCGCAGACCTGATCCTCAATTTCCATCTAGTCCTTCTGGATATTCCAGCACTCAAATCAGGACATCGTCCGGTTGAAACCCATGTCATGTTCAGGAGCCGGTTGGTCGTGAGAATTATTCATTTTTTTCGAAATAATTTCACTTTATTACTCTATTTAAAATCAGTGTTCGGCTATACAATTTCCAAATCCAACTCGGAGTCGGATTTCAAATTTGGAGAACAATAGAAGTGCTCCAAACTTGTTTTCCAATTCCATCTTCATGAATTCCAAATAAGGTGCCCTTTTCTCTACTTCGCAAAAAATCTAACCAAACACAATTCCATCTTCAGTTCTAACTTCATGTATTCCAAATAAAGTGAAAATATTTGAAATCTATGACCAAATGTCTACTTATAATCAGCTCAAAGAATGAGGCAAGTTGCATTGTGGTTGCTGCTGCTGCATCTTCTTCTGTTCCTTTCGTTCTTATCGATTGAGCAGCAAGAAATCAATTTAAGAGCAGGGAGATTGAAGGCTGTGATGATAATGCTGTTTTTGAGCAATTTGGTTTGGGGATTGAGATTATACGAGCTGTATCTTGGTGGAGTTGCCTGGAGAGGTTGCTGCCTGCAACCATGGCAGTTTCTGATAAACTCAATGCCTGATTGAACTGAGATCTGAACCTTGGTAAGATTAGAAGAAAATCCAAATGGTCCTTAATGTTCCGGGGCCTGACTATTTTGGTCCTTGATATATACTCCTTTGCACAAATGATCCTAACTGCAAAAAGTGTCCATATCCCTTAGACTAACAGAAGGCACCAAAGCTCCTGTTAAGTTTATCAGATATTTTCTCCTGTTCTTGCTACTGTTGGAATGTTATGTGAACTAAACAAGTAATCAATGTAAGAACAGGAAAAAGTTTATGGCTTTGATGGTAATGCTTTTTTGAAAAAGTTTATGGCTTTGATGGTAATGCTTTTTTCTTTGTTGCGCAATCGGAATGGCCATTGAGATGGTTAGAGCCTTATCTTGGCAGAGCAACGTGGGTAGGTTGCAGCCATGACGGTTTCTGATTAAAACCAATGCCTGATAAAATTGAAGTCCGAGTTATGCACATGTGTGCATGTATATTGTCTGTATACTACATACATGCACACACACGTGCACATGTCTTGTGAGAATGATTAAAATGGCCCCTTGTTGACGCAGTGATGATCTTTCAATCTATCCTCCAAGCTAGTAGTTGAGCATAGAAAGTACCCGACATGTATCTTGGTGGGCAATGACCCAAATACATGTGATTGTTACACACAATTGGGGCGTTTGTAGCCAAGCTATGGTTGGACTTCCGTTGCTTGAGCCTCAATTGTCACTTATACAGTCAGACCTCTATGTAGCAGTCTTATTCTTTCACAACATTTCACTATAACAGTCATGTTTTCTGTGGGACTGATCTTTCACGTTATGTTGTATTTTATGTTCTCGGTAGCAACATTTCGCTATAGTAACCAAAAAATATTGGGAAATATGATGCTGCTTTAGAGAGGCTTGGTTGTACCTTACTTTTCGTATATTTGCTATGGAGGAAACTATTTGAACGAAGCATGAATTTCCACATATAAGATCTTCGACATGAGGCCCTTAATTTTGGGAGGTCAAAAGAGATTATACAACAACAACAACCTAGTGTAATCCCAAAAGCGGGGTATGGGGCGGGTGGAGTGTAGGTGGACCTTACTTTACCTTTTTGGGGTAGATAAGCTGTTTCCGATTGACCCTCAGCTCACAAAGGAGAAGGCAACCACGCCATGGCTGTAAGATCACTGGTTGCATGCAAAAAAGAGAGCCTCCATTGCAGGTCATCTTGGGATTTGCCTGGCCAAGATACGGGTTGTATTGTCTTCAGTGCCCCAGTTTGTTAACCCCATCAGTTGAGTGAACCATTGTTGAGGTCCAAAACAATTTAGGCACTATAAATATGAAGCAGAAGGTGAAATGAAAATGGAAAAAATCTCATTTGTTTAAGTCTAAGTCTACTGGATTCAGAGAGTTTTTGACATAGTTGCCCCTCTCTGTCATTCTTAGAAGCCAATGATCACCCAAAATTTCCCAAATTTAAACCACTCTTTTATTTAGCAAAATAAGTTCTCAATCAGGCAGTAATGATTTTCATTCTTTATTTATTAGATGGTTGAGCCTTACTATATCTTAGTGTGGCAGCCTTTTTTTTGGGGGAGTGGGGGTGGGGGGTAGTGGCTTTGTGAGATATTGGAATTGGAACTATTTTAGTTTCTGCATCTCGCAGAGGCTCCTCAAGCTTGCAGCCATGGCCGGGTTTAGCTTATGTCTAAGAGAAGGCGAATCTGAGCCTCCTAAATATCTGTTGATGCTCAAAATGAGGCTTTTATGGAACTCGAGGAATTTTGAGATTATCTAAGGGTGTTTGTTACTCCCTCTCTGAAGTTCAATTAAGCCAATGAATTTCCCTATACCTTTGTTATGCAGAAATATTAACAGCCCTTTTGCTACAACAACTTACCCAGTGAAATCCCTCAAGAGGAAGGTTAACAAACATTTCATTAAAAAAATGCCAATTATGGTAATGATGGTGAAGATATCCATGTTTATGGTAGTAATAAGGAATAGGCAACATACATTGAGGCCTTCTGTTTGTCTCATAAACTTGTCCGGATAAATCCTTTGTACTTGGATCCTAACCCCTAAACTTTGTGAATGAGGCTATGATGATATTCCCAAGGAAGCTCGAAAAGTCAATTTTTTGAGCGAATCGTACCTTGGTTAGGCAAAGGTAGGAAACTTTGTGAGGTGAGTTCTTATGTGCTCTCTCACAAAGGGGTCTGCTTCTTGCAGCTATGGCGGATTAGCCATTTTTCTGATATATTTTAAGATAATCTGAGCGACTTTTCTGTTAAATTTAGTTCTTCAATGACTGGTCCTTCTGTTACATTCTGTTCATGTTCTTTCTTTTTGAAGAATCTCAATTTCAAAAGAATTTTTTATGTATTCTTCTCCAAAAATTCCTAGAGAGAAATTATTAGGTATATTAGATAAGTCCAATGCTTTTATGTATATGTGAATTCATCTTACACAGTATCCACACTTTCATGCCTTCTTTTAATCTTGAAAAATCCCAAGTTTCAGAGGCAATGATGATTATTCTTAAGGAAAAGGAAAAGTGAAGAAGATTTGGAGTTGATTTATGGCCTGGCTTGGCAATAAAAATTGGAAAGTCTTTCTTATAAACCAACCGATGATTGCAGGCTTGCAGCCATGGAAGTGTCAACTCTGCTCTTTTCTTTGATTAAATAGGAGAAAATCTGAGCCTCATCCTAAGGTTATTCACACTTTTTTGACTAGTCTCTGAGCAAATAGTTTAACTAGAAATATTTGAATGAGGCTAAATACATTTGATCCAGATGATTTTTTATGGTCTTGAGACTCTTCTCTCTTTGTTGTTTCCAATTTTTTCCCCTATTCCTAGGGCTGATTGGTTGGAGAAAGGCTTAAAACCAAAATAAGGATGTTTAAATTTAGAAGAAACGTAAAGGAGGATCATGCTCTTTGGAAGGATGTTATCATCAGCAAATACGGACAGACTGAGCAATGGACGACCAACACTGTGACTAACACTTGTGGAGTCTCAGTTTGGAGAACTATCAGAAATTTGTGGCCTAAATTGTCCGAGAGCATAGGTTATAAGGTGGGTGAAGGGACTAGAATTCTATTCTGGAAAGACAAATGGATCGGCCAGAACTTACTCATGGAGGATTTTCCAGATTTATTTTCTTTCTGTGACAATCCTGAAGCATCTATTGCTGAGACCTGGACTAACCAAGGATGGAATATCATCTTTAGAAGGCTTCTAAATGACTAGGAGATTGAGTGTGGCCAGCCTGCTGCAAAGGTTGAATGATTTCTCTGATTTAAATACCTGCCCTGATACAATCAGATGGACATGATATGGATGGAAAATTTTCAATCTGAAGATTGTACAGAAGAAATTTGATCTCACAATCTGGGATTATCCCTGGACCTTGGAAACAAATATGGAAATCTAATATCCCTACCAAGATTAAGGATTTCACATGGAAGGTATGTAAAAGAGCATGTCTCACTCAGGAGAAACTGAAAAAGAGAGGTTTTGAGATTATCTCAAGGTGCTTCTTTTGCAAGGAAAAGGAGGAAACAAATAGCCATTTGTTCCTCCATTCTAGAGTGACTTCTCAGGTGTGGCATATGTTTCTTAATCTCATCCAAATATCATGGGTGATGCCTGAGCATACGACAGATCTTCTAACCTGCTGGATGAGAAGAGGCGGGAGTAAAAAACAGAAAAAATGGTGGAGCCTAGTCCCTTCTTGCTTATGGTGGTCAGCCTGGAAGGAAAGAAACAATAGATGTTTTAAGAATATCACTAATCCAATGCAGAAAGTAAAAAAAAATTGCATTAATACTTTATATCTTTGGTGTTAAGAGGAGGGTATAGATGATGTAGAACAGCTAATAGAATTCTTAGGCTCTCTGTAATTATGATTACATGCACTGTAATTTTTTTGATGGTTGACAGCATACCCACATTGCTGAGGAATATAACTTTACCTTGCTCAAAAAATTTTTTTTTAGAAGAAATGTATTGTGGTTTCCCTAATCAAATCAATATGCTTTTTGAAAAGTTTGAGCAAGCTTTCTCATAAAAGAGTATTTCAAAGAATGAAAAAGAGTTGTCTTTTTTATTTTTTCTAGAATAGCATGGTATTGAATTTTCTGTTTCCTAATTGCTTGTAGTTATTTAAATTCAAGTCACTTTTGTATTTTCGTAAACATCAATTTTTTCACTTTTCAGTTTTGCAGCGTTCAAAAGGTTTACTTTTTTCGTGTGTGTAATATGTGTTGTGTAGTAACTAAGAAGGCTATAACAGCTTCTGAGAGCAGCAATCAAAGGTTTTGATGCATCCGTTTGGTGTTACACTGCCACTCTGGTTGATCTGAGTCACAACTGCTATAACACATCCGATCTTTTCTTGTCATGGTTCTTTGTTCTGTTATTTAGAATCTCAGGTTCTCATTTATTTTGAGTGACTTGTTGTAGATCGGAGAGAGGTCATTTTGTCTTTGCGCAAAGGCTTTGGCATGTGCACTGTTGACTTCTGACTCCGTAGAAATAAATTTGAAGCAATTCAATGAGATTCAGGAGCTACGATTTTGTTTTTGGTGATCATTCATGCCTAGTAAACATTGAGATTTAGATTCAGCATAGAACTATTATTTCATACTGTTGTTGAAGAGCCAAACATAAAATGGTCATGGAGCTAGACTTTTGAAGATCTCTTGGAATAACTGAGATATACAATTGCATCAACTAAGAATTACAACATTTTCTGTTTAATTGACCATTTCCATCATGCCTATGATATCTATTTTCTTGCGTTTGAGTTGTATACATTGTGACGCTGTCAATGTGAATAATATTTTACACTATCACGACATATCTATATGTTGTGGGAGGTAGCCCGTCTTATTTTTAAGATTGCAGATCCACATTTCAAGGAGACTTACCTAAAGATAGCCTTTCAGCAACCTGGTAGTGTAAAAATTATTCACACTGATTGTTTATCTTAACATAAACTCATTTTCTTTTAGCTGTAACCTCACCTGCTATTTTTCTTCATATATGTGTTTGTGTAACCAACCCCCATATATTAAGTACTATTTTGATCATTTTCATTGACTGTTATACTTTGCTCCTAAAGAGGTTGCATTTCCATGGCAAATCAACAGCAAAACCATGCAGCAATGTGCTTGAAAAGGGATAATAACAGACGTAATGATAATTTTACTGATCAGATGGACTTGAGTGTTGTTGTTTTACCTCTGGATCTTGATAGGGCAACCTGGACTATAAGTTTTGCAGCCGTGGAAGTGTTGAAGAACTCAATGTCTGAGATCAATTGCTTATTCTGAGTCTCAAATCTTCATCAAAATAATCTGCAGATTTGATTTTCAGCTTGTGGATATGCAGTGGAAAAAATCTTAGATATTCTTACTAGTATTAATGGCCAAGTCTTGGACTGAAACTTCTGTTTTACTGTAAGCCTTTCTACATCTTATGTTTATTGACGTTTCGTTTACCTTCTTTGTTCTTCTTTTCCAGCAACTCTAAGGTTTAGATGGACTATGCCACAGTCGACAGTAGACACTTTTGAGTTGTTGGAACAATGTGAGCAGCTATGTTAGTCAGAAGAAAAGGCGAAATTTGTTTACCTGCTTGTATATGGTGGATTAGCCCGAAAGGAGAGGAACGCTAGGCGTTTTGAAGAGAAGCAGCTCCATCCAGAGGAAAAAGATGAACTGCATAAAAGAAATTATAATTTCTTGTAAAATGAATAAGACATGTTTAGTTGCTGTTTCTGTTTTATTTTTCAACTATGTACCGGTGCCTCAGTACATCCTTTGTACTGGTTGCTCATGAAACTGTTCATTATTAAAAATGGAATTACCAAGTTCTATAAGACCGCTAACAGAAGAAGCTGGTAATAGCCAGAAGCAGAGTGCGGAGTCAGGATTCAGAGTCTGAGAGTTCTAAATTTCAAATTTAAAAAGTTTGACCACAACTCTATTGTGGAAAACATTTGTATGACCTGACCTTATTCCGTCAATCAATCAATTTTGTTGGGAGATTTACGAGTTAACATATATATACAAGTTTATTTAATTTTCTAATATAAAGTTGACTTAGAGATAGAATGTTTGATTTTACGATTTATTATTTGGTTGGTGAGATAAAAGGATAATATGGAAGTATCTATATAAAGAGTGTTTTACTGAAGAAAACGAGAAACAGTTCAGCCCAGAATGAAGAATGAGGCCAACTGAGAGAACACAAAAATGGATTTCATGGAGGATGGTTGCCATCTCTGATTGGCCAATGATTTCTCCGTCCGATGAAAACTAACAACCCTCCTTATCAAAAATTCCAAAAAAAGAAAAAAAAAATTAATACTTCCTTTGTTCCATTTTTACTAGGTTTTGCAAAATGTCCACAAATTGCTGTAGAAAAGATGGAAAGAGGCAGTGATGACATTGCTGTGTGATGATTCTGGGCTGAAATTTGGGGCATGGAGAAAACCCGACTCGTATCTTGGCGGGGCAAAACCAGAATCATGCAAAACCGGTTCATTTTTTTTTTTTTTGCAGCCATGGCGATTGTTGTCTTCTTCTCCTCTTGCCCCCATTTTACACAGATCTGAGCCTCATTTTCAAATTCGGATGGAAACCCAGTTCATTTAGCTCAAAAGACTGAGGCAATCGGAGAAAATGGGGATTTTTTTTTCATCTCCGGTATGTCAATGATTTCTTCTTTGCTCTAGTTGACATTCCCTTAATCTTTTGATTTAATTTCCTAGATTTTTAATGTTGGGTATAAAATTATATGTTTTGGGCATATGAGTTCTTTAGAAACTGAAACTATACAGAAATATTAACTTATGTCTCGCAAAAAATTGTTTGTTATGAGTGCATAAACTAAAACCCAACACAAAATAGGGCAAATGTGTGAATGGTCCAGTAATGGAAGCTCAGCCCAGTATGAAGAATGAGGCCAACAGGGAGAAAAAAGGGAAGTTCTTTGGAGGGTGGTTGCCCTCTCTGATTGGCCTGTGATTTCTCTTTTAACCAAACTAACAACCATCTATAAAAGTTGGAAAAAGAAACGATGTTTGTTGTCATTGTCATTTGCCTTCAATGGGGGCAATGTGATGCTAATTGGCAATTGTACTATTCAATTTTCTATTATTCTGAGCTACATTTAGTTGCATGATCATAAGTTCTTTAAGGATAGCAGGACAAAAGTGCAAATGACCCTCTGAGCTAAGGTCGGCTTATGCTTTAAAGCCACTAGAAAGCAGTCCAATCCAAACAGGCTCTTATTGGATTATTCTTGTTAAGGTTGTTCAAATGTGCTCTTCTGGAAAAGTTCCCATGTTTAGGCAGTGATGATATTTGCTAATCTGGGCTGATGTTTATTATTTGGGGTATGGGGACAATCTGACCCGTATCTTGGCATGGCAAATCCAGATGGTTTGTGATTGAGTCTTCTCTTTCACATGCAACTGGTTCTTTTGCAGCCATGGCGGTTGTTGCCTTCTCTCTGCCCCAATTTTTTGCAGATCTGAGCCTCAATTTCCAACTAGTCCAACTGGATGTCCCAGGACTCAAAGAGTTTTGAACCTAAATGATGATAAAACCCCATGTATGCACACACACAAAAAAAACACTTGATGAGAAAATGTCAAAATGGTCCCTTATCAGTGCAATGATGATCTTTCAATCTGTCCTCTTTAGCTAGTAATTGAGCATTTAGAGTACCTGGCCAGTATCTTGGCGGGGCAATGACCCGGATGCCTGTGATTTTGTTGCATGCAACTTGGAAATATTTGCAGCCATCGTATGACTGGACTCCGACTTTCTTTACCTGAGCATAAGATGGATCTGAGCCTCAATTCACTTGTGGGTGTATTTGGAATGAAGGAAAATGTTTTAGTGTTCACTACAATAAAAGAGACATTTTGTGGCAATAGAATTCCTCTTGCTGGCAATATTTATGGCTGCAAAAACATTTTGCTGCAAATTAAGTTAATGCCATTGCATCTTAAGTCGCTAGTGTCTTAAGTGACGTTTATATAGAGTGATGTTTATAAATACTCATATAGGTTATTGCCGCCAAATATATTCTAGTAGCGATTATATCATTGCTGCTAAATAATTGCCACAAAATTCTCTGTTTGTTGTAGTAGAATCAGCCGTAAAGTGGCTATCTTGTGTATAACACCATACTTAAATGTGATCCCATTGTGGTCTGGAAAGTGGCTACCTTGTGTCATCTCTACAAATAATAAGACCTTCGACATGAGGCCCATAATGAGGCTGTGATGATTTTCATTCTTTACTCATCAGATGGTTGAGCTTCAGTATATCTTGGCTTGGCATCTTTTTGGGGGTCTTGCGAGATATTGGAGCTATTTGGGTTTCTACTTCTTACAAAGACTCCTTAAGATTGCAGCCATGGTGGGGTTTAGCTTATGTTTGAGAAAAGGCGAATCTGAGCCTCCCGAATCTCTGTTTGTATAAAACAATGAGGCTCTTTATGCTACCCAACTTATGCTGCATAACTTAATCCGTATGGAACTTAGGCTAAGCGAGACGAAAGGTTCTCCAAACTTATGCAGAAACAAGAGCTCCTGATTTTGGGGAAATCCGTGCTAAAACTTGTTAATTTAATGCATTGAGAAAATCTGACCTGTATCTTGGCAGGGCAACCTGGTATGACATCATCGGTAAACTGGCGTTTGCAGCCATGGCATTGTTCCTTTCTCTTTGCATCTTCATATACAACAACATATGAGCACTAAAGTTGATGGTAAATTATTTCTCAGATGGTCACTTAACTTAATGCGGGTACTCAGGAACCTAAATACCCTATAGGGTTCAGTCCGAGCAACATAGAATCATTCAATGAGGCAATGAAGACAATCTTTAAGAATCAGATAGTTGAACTTTGTTGTAACTTGGTGTGGCAGCTCTAAGGGTCTTTGAGGTAAGAGAACTGTATTGGTTTTCATCTCACGAGGCTATTAATGCTTTGCTTGCAGCCATGGCATAGTATAGCTTTTTCCTGAGAAAAAGCAAATCTGAGCCTCCCAAGTATCTGTTGTGTTTGAGAATGAGGCTTTTTATTGAACTCAGGAATGGTAGAGATTTTCTAAGGGCGGTTAACTCTTTCTCCTAAGTTCAATTTTGCCAATGAATTTTCCTGTGCTTTTGTATAAAGTTTACAGCTCTCTCAATTAGCAGAGCGCTCTTCATGATGATGATGATGCTGATTGATTGCCATGATTATGGTAATAATAAAGGAAAATACAGTTTTGCCCCTTTAACTTGTGCAAAACCCTGAACTAAACTTTTTGAATAAGGCTTTGATGATATTTGCCAAGAAGCTCGAAAATGAGATTTTAAAACTGATTCATATCTTGTCTAGACAAAGGCATTTGTGAGGATGCTTTTTGCAGCCATGGTGGATTGGCTCTTTTTTCTGATTGATTTTCACTCAAATCTGAGCCTCTTTCTGTTTAAAGTATAGTTCTACAATATTTAGTCTTTCTTTTTCATTCATGGTACGATCAGTTCATATAAGGAAGAGTCCCCTTTGAGAAAGAAGCTTTTAATGTGTCCATCTATACAATTTCTCCAAATTGTTAGGTACGTACTGATATGAGACAAGGCCAAAGGGAATGGAAGTGAATATTGAGGATCCGTATATTGTTGCTGCATTTTACTTTTTTGATCAAGATTTGTTGCTGCATTTTTGCACATTCAAACTTGGATGTCTTGTTTTAATCTTGAACGCTCCAAAATTCAGAGGCAGTGAAGATTATTCATAATGAAAATGAAAAGTGAAAAAAATTAGAGTTGATTCGTGACCTGGCTTGGCGAGTTCAATCGGAAGGTCTTATAAGGCAACTGTTGCTTGAAGCCAGGGCACTGTTCCAACTCTGCTCTTCCTTTTCTTTGATTAAATAGGCGAAAATCTGAGCCTCGTTCTTTGCTTTGTGCATTTACTTTTTTTTTTACCAGCCTTTCTGGAAAGAGATTTAGATTACCATCGCTCAGTTTCAAAAAAAAAAGAGAATAGATTTAGATTACCATCACTGTGGAACTTCTGAAATCAACAGCTCCATCTGCCAATGCCAAAAGCCAAAAGTAAATAAAAAAAAAAGGATTCTGCATTAAGTACATGCATTTGTACAATCTTGATTTGGTTGACGGAAATTGGATCCTCCGCATACATGAAAAGGTAATCATTTTTACCTACAATTTGTTTTTCTGTTGGTGGAATATTGTCAAACTTGACATGAATAATATTGAAGTACTGTATGATTATTATGTACTGTAGGTGCATTGCTATCTAAAAAGCATGTTTAAGTAAATTTGTGCAACTATCAATAGTGTCAATCACTGCTATTGAATGCCAACTAATTCAATTATTAGATGGAATGACAGTTTATATGCATCCACAAATCAAGAACTATTGCTTTGTTCTTAATTGTTAGTATATGCTATGAAATGCTCCATTTACAATATATCTGTTGACAAATTATGTGCTTTTTTGGGGGTCATTTTTTGTTGTTGTAATTGCAGCATCCACTGAATCAGTGACGTAGCCGGAATAAGCTAAGCACATACTCACATGTCCGCTACCTAAACTTGGAACTGTTGGGAAATTATTGATCAAAAGCACCATATTGGCCAAGTTAATGGTGTATTCTCATTCCTGATTAGAGGTACCAGATGGGCAAATTAATTGGTAGGTGAGCACTTTTAACACTTGTTATTATATATATTAGTCAATGTCTTAGAAGGTATTAATGTCCCTGAAACACTTTCAATGCCTTTTGAGGAAGTTTGATAATCAGTAGCTATTTAATTTGAGAAAGAATATTTTAATACAATTAATTTAAAGACAATTTAAGATTTTTATTTTTTTTAACTTTATTATTTTTATTCTTATTAACACATAAAGAAACCTACAATCAATTGGAAAACAAAAAATTTGACACGTTAGATATATCTTTTAATTTATTTAATTATAATTATCATATGTTGTTATTTGTCTTAAATCTTTGTTATTCTTTCATTAATAATTTGTTCTTAAAAATATTACATATGTTATTAAAATTTGGTTCAACAATTAGATACAACGTTCTCATATTTTTTAAATATTAACTGTGCATTGGAATTCAACCCTACCAAATCCTAATTGAAGAATGAATTGGTCAAAGCAATAAATATAGAGAGAAGAGGAAGCTCCAAATGACCCAAAAGAATAGGTTTGTACCCCTAACATTCAAACGTATTGTTTTATAATGTATCGTATTACATATTTATATTATTTTGATGAGTATAACTGTTGGATAGAACAATAATTCGAAGAATAAATCTATTAGAAAAATGAATTAAACCTAAGCTACTATGATTTTCTTTTTTTGAATTTGCAAGGGAAAGCTGTCAAAGACAGGAAAGCTGATGGATGTTGATAATCATCAGGTTAGTTATCTTCAACGTGGGCCTTGCCATTGTTTAAGAATCGAACGAATTCACTTCCAAGAAAGAAATCATTGTAAACATCCTCAAGAGGTTATCTGTGCGGTCTCTTCTTCGATTTAAATCTTGGAAGGAGTTAATTTCTCAGCCTTACTTTACGATGAAGCATCAAAGTCATGCAATGAATGACTTGAATTCCAAAAAGTTTCTTGTTAGCCAATGGCATGTTGGTAAGGATGTTATGTTTGATTTCTTTTCTTCTGATCTATCTTCGGCTCAACCGGCCATTGAGGATATAGAAAAACTTAATTGTCCTCCATATTGCAAACCATAACCAGTTGAGTCATATCCCAGACAGTAAGGATTTTATAGTCATGACTGTCTGGGATATGACTCAACTAGTGATGACTATTAAATCCTTAAAGTTTAACTATCCTGGAATGGAAATTCTGGCATTAAAAAGTGGTTCTTGGAGAGAAAACAATAGATGTCGAGCTGACTTTTAACCTTTGTGGGATCGTCATGTTGATTCTTTTGCATTTCTACATGGACCATTTCATTGTTTAATTGGTTTTCATTTAGTATTTCAGATGAGGTGTACGGAGAGATACAGTTGCTAGAGCCAATGATGGAAAATGTCAAAGGTTTCACCAACCATGGAGTTTCAATATTAGGAGGAATGCTTTGCTTTTATTACACTCATGCTCCTTCTAACTCGAGAGAGACTACTCTTAAGTTATGGGTAATGAAGGATTACAGTGTCAAAGGAGTCTTGGATACCATTATATATACTATACAAGATAACGTTTTGCATTTACTTAGACCGATATATATGTTTGCAGATGGTGAAGTGCTACTCAACTACAGATGTATAGACCAAGTAGGGTTTAACTTCCCGTTTAGGACATCCAAAGGACCACTAAAATTATGGCACAAATATAATATCCTAAAGCAAGGAATTATTTATACGATCTCTCCAAAATCACTTATTAGCGCTTGCTTATGTATGATAGACATTTTTTAATTTTATCGGTTTTCGAGTATATCATGTAACAAACTCTTAATTTTGATAAGTTTATCTATTGCACACTAATTTTTGTTATGTAAAATTTTTAGCTCTCTTCGATCTCCAAATCGTCCATATCTGCATACTTAAAAGGTTTAACCAAGTATTTGGCGATCTCAAATGTGTTGATATCAATAAAGACTATTTTTTTTAAAAAAAAAAGGTTACGTAAACACTTACTCGAGATCTCACTTCGTGACAATTGAAATGCAAATTCTTATTGTCTTTAAAAAAAGAGTTTATTAAATGAATAAATTATAGTTCTTCGTGACAATTGGAATTCAAATTCTTATTGTCTTTACAAAAAGAGTTTATTAAATGAATATATTATAGTTCATAAATAACGTATTAGAATATCTTAAGATATCACCACTTATAAATCACTTCTTTTTATAAAAATATTTGGGATTGTTATAAATTTTCTTACAAAGATTTAGCGATTTAATAAATCAATAATAGTAAATAGACATATATCCTGCGTTGCGTGTATTTTTATGCTACGTAGAATATATATGTCTGATTATTTAACTTTACGAAAATAAATATATGTGAAAAGGTGTTTGGATCCTTTACAACCATAAGACCACTAGACTTTTCATTTGGAAGGTGACTCCTGTGATTTTGACGTCAACGACTGATGACTTGCTATTACCGGTTACCATCTCCCTGTTTTCTTATACAAACAATCTTATATAATATAGTTAATACTCACATTTCTTCATTTCTCTCTCTCTCTTTGCTTCTCCATAGGTTTAAGGTACGTCTTTTTTCTCATTTTTTATATTCATATTGTTTTAAGACAGTTCTGTTTTGCTTTTCATGGTTTTTTTTCTTGATTAAGTGTGTAGTTCAAATTTGAGCTCAATTTTATGCTTAAGTCATTGAGTATGGACTATTTATAGGATTTAGAGTTGGTTAATTTATGCAAGTTTTTGCTGGCTATTTCACTAAGTGACTGGTCCTGTTATATTGTGATAAAGATTCATTTTTGTTAATGCAGGATCTGCTGTTCGGTTTCTTGATTTTATGGGGTTGTTAAATCTATGAGATATTTTACTTGTGGGGTTGTCTCTTAATGATAAAGATTCAATTTTTAATGCAGTATTATCATCTTTAATTTATGTGGTTGTTAAAGTGTCCTTTTTTGCTATTTTTTGAGAGATTTTTCTAGTGGGCAGTCTGTATAGTGATAAAGATTCAATTTTTAATGCAGAATCTGCTGTTTCTTTTCTTGGTTGTATGGGGTTGTTAAAATTTCTGTCTTTATTGCTATTTTTTTTTTACAATAAGAATCTTCTGTTTGCTTTCTTGATTTTATGGGATAGTTGAATTTTCTGTCTTTTTTGCTTTTTTTTTGAGAGATATTACTTGTGGTACTTTGTTAAATAGTGATGATGATTCAATTTTGTATATGCTGAATTTGCTGTTTGTTTTCTTGATTCTATGGGGTTGTTGAAGTTTCTGTCTTTTTGCTATTTTCAGAGAGAATATTGTTTGTGCTTGTTCCACTTTTGAGCTTGGATTGTATATGGTTGTCACAGATTCATCATTAACTTTGAGGTTTGGTTAAAATGGATCCGAGGTTTAATGGACATCGGAGTTCTTTGAATAATTTTCGATTTGGGAACCAACCATTACCTTTTTCTTCAGAGCAGAGGATGATTAATGTACCAAGATTTGGACTCATTTATTCAGATCAGAATCTTCTCAATGGTCCTAGACTTGAAAATAACTTTGTCCAACACGATTTTGGTGCTGTTGGATTTATAAGTGGTGATCATTTACCTACTAGTGTAGAATCAAGAACTGACCTTGGTGTTGAGAACGACTTCAATGAAGATATTGATTTCTCGGATGCAGTGTTGAGCTATATAAATCGGATGCTAATGGAAGAAGACATGGAGGACAAGACAGATATGCTTCAGGAGTCCTTGGAACTTCAAGCTAAAGAGAAGTCACTTTATGAGGCCCTCGGTAAGAAGTATCCACCATCACTGGAGCAAAACGTGTTTACTGTTCGGAACAGTGAGAGTCCTGATGACTACGTTGCAGGAAGTATATACAATTCCACAAGTAATACTGGTGACAGTAGTGGTTACCTAGTCGATCCAAGGGGGGTTAACATTTCTACCGACTGCAATTCTTCTTACTTCGAAGGCCTTTCATTTCATAATACTTCTTCACTATGCTCATCAAATAGTGGGAGTAATGTTGTCGATGGATTCTTAGATTCTCCTGTTAGTTCTTTTCGTATTCCTGATATATACGATGAGAGTCGATCTATTTTGAACTTTCAGAAAGGAGTTGAAGAAGCAAGTAAGTTCCTCCCGACTAGTAATAAGTTGTTGAACAGTATAGATATAAATGGCTTGCCATCTCGGGAGCCCCATAGGCAAACTGCTTATGCAGCTGCTCAGGTGGAGGAAAAGGATGAGGGAGAGACTTCACCAACTGAGGGGAGAGGGAAGAAAAATCCTCTGAGGGGTGATAATAATATCGAAGAAGAAAGAAGTAGCAAACAGGCTGCAGTTTTTACTGAATCAACTCTACGATCCGAGGAGTTTGATATCGTCTTGCTGAATAGCATGGGGAAGGGAGGAGAAGCATTAGAAGCTTATCAACAAAACCTGAGGAATGCTAAAAGCAAAACTACAGTGCAGATATCAAAAAAATCAAAAGGAGGAAAGGGCCGGGGGAAGAAACAGGGTGGAAAGAAGGAAGTCATAGATTTGAGAACTCTCATGATAAATTGTGCGCAAGCTGTTGCTGCTGACGATTCCAGGATTGCGAATGAACTTTTGAAACAAATCAGACAACATTCATCCCCATTTGGAGATGGAAACCAGAGATTAGCTCATTGCTTTGCAGATGGCCTCGAGGCGCGTTTGGCTGGTACTGGTAGCCAGATATATAAAGCTCTTGTCAATAAACGAACATCTGCAGCTGATCTTTTGAAGGCCTACCATTTGTATCTTGCATCTAGCCCATTCAGAAAGATCTCAAGTTTTGCTTCAAACAAGACAATCATGCTAAAGGCAGAGAATGCAACAAGGGTTCATGTTATTGACTTTGGCATCCTGTATGGCTTCCAATGGCCTACATTCATCCAACGTATTGCAGAAAGAGAAGGGGGGCCACCAAGGCTTCGTATTACTGGCATAGAGTTTCCGCAACCAGGCTTCAGGCCAGCGGAACGGATTGAAGAAACAGGTCGCCGTTTAGCTGATTATGCTCGATCCTTTAATGTTCCATTTGAATACCATGCAATTGCAAAGAAATGGGAGAGCATTACAGTTGAGGATCTAAAACTCGACAAAGATGAATTTCTTGCTGTCAACTGCTTGTATCGTTTTAAGAACCTGCATGATGAGACTATTGCAGTTGAAAGTTCAAGAACTATCGTACTCAACCTCGTAAGGAAGATCAATCCAGATATCTTCGTGCATGGTATTGTCAATGGGGCTTATAGTGCCCCATTTTTCGTCACACGGTTTCGTGAGGCCTTGTTCCACTTTTCTGCACTTTTTGATATTCTTGAAACTATTGTTCCCCGTGAGATTCCAGAAAGACGATTAATTGAGAGAGAGATATTTGGGAGGGAAGCCCTGAATGTCATAGCTTGTGAGGGGTGGGAAAGAGTTGAACGTCCAGAGACCTACAAGCAGTGGCAAGCTCGTATTATGGGGGCAAGGTTTACACAGATACCTTTTGACCGGGAGGAATTTGTGAATAAGGCAATAGAAAAAGTGAGGTTAGGATATCATAGAGACTTTGTAATAGATGAAGATAGCCAGTGGTTGTTGCTGGGGTGGAAAGGAAGAACAATTTACGCCTTATCTTGTTGGAAACCTGTGTAAGAAACTTGAAACACATTCTTACTTTGAATCCCAAGTCCATCCACATTATGAAGATCAAATGCAGCAATACAGTTTGTAAGTCTCTTGCCTTTTGATGTATTTGTATAATTTTTTTTCTCATACTCTAAAATTTAACACAATTTGCCAATGTCACAGGTAACTGGCTTCTCAGTGTCTTGATATAGTAACAACAAGATCATTTGGTTGCTGAACTCTTCGAGTTCCCTAATATGGACGGGGCTATAGTACTGCAGAGTACACTTCAATAACCATCTGATAATCAAACAAGATGAGGCTTCGGTGCATGTTCTTGGTGCTGATCATCAGCATACACAACGTAGGAGTTGAATTGATTGAATCGATATTTCATAGAAGAATGACCGAGGCCATAAGAGCTATAGCTGACAAGACATGGCTGCACATTTTGCATCAGATATGTATTCTGGAATTTTGTGAACTTGCAGCATATGTTAGTTTGTTCAATATACTTGGAGTTCTTATTGAAGTTAAGTTATGTACAAATAATTTTTTTTAGTATGTGTAATTTAACTGCAAGTAATAGTACATTGATTTAAACTAAACACTTTTTTCAAATGAGAGAAAATCCTTCACAAGATTTGCCATGTGACTTCTTAACAAATTGCATTTAAAATATTTGTGGGAACTTTTTTTGGTCCAATTGATAACAAAACTTTGAAAATTGTGATGTCTTTTAGCTGTGGGACAGAAAGCACTTATTCTTAGGATTCTTTTGAGTATTTTTCAGCTCATTATTCATATTCTTACTCTTTCTAAGACATCGATCGTGTCAGAAAATTTTAATAGCTCAGTTAATTGACAAGTTGTATTTAAAGGGTTCGGTTCCTTACCTTGTGATTTATTTCTTCTCTATTAATGTATGTATAAGTAAGTAGTAAATACTGAGAGAATGGTGGAGCGATGGAGGTTGTGTTGAGATGTACTAACACGAGATACGTGACAGAAGTAGAGTCAGAATTTGAAGTTATGAGTTTTATACTTGTTATCAAATCGATAACTAGTTTAATTTATGATTGGCAATTAATTATAAATACATAAATCTAAACAAAATAATAGATTCATCCAAACTCATACCATATAATGTAGTGTTGCCCCATTTTGTACTAATATATACGTAAAATCAAATCTATAAATTCGTCTATAAATTAATTTAAAATTACTACAAAAACTCATATAAACTTTAAATTTTGAATCTGCTTTCGATTATTATGCCTCGAAATAAGACTTACAAATAGAGAATTGATTTTAAAAGAGAGAGAATCAAGTTTTGCAATGTCTCATATTTAGGGACCACAATGTTGGTGCTCTTCTAGAGAATTTGATGGGACTTATTATTTAAATTTAAAATTATAGTCAAAACCAGCAAAACTAGAAAAGAATCTTAGTATATAATGTCTTCTTTTAGTGGATATAATATATGTTGATATAAGCAAAAATAACGGCTGAAACGCCATTGATAAAGACATAGTGCTTCCCAATAATTTTTCTCATATAAAAAATAAATGTTTTATTCGACCAATGAGATATTAAAAAACTTGATCTGACTGAGTATTATATTTTATTTATTAGAATATTTGATATTCATAACTATAGTAAAAGAGTCTTAATAGTTTATTTTAAATTGAGGAATCTACCAAATTATTTATTTATATACGTGGGCTATTCAAAACACGTCTAATCTTCTACTTAGTTTATACGACTATTCAAAGCCCTACCATTAATGAAATTTAAAAAAACAATCATAGTTATTGTTGTGCATATAAGATATTAGTTTTTTTCCATTCGTTGTCCCGAACCTACATTGAAATCTGAACTAAATTCAGTCGCGCACTACAAGACTCATTTAGGAATAGCACTCTCAACAATATTTTTCTCTATATGCAGGACTCAAATTCGAAAGTGAAACAATTTCGCCACTAAAACATTGGAAGTCAGAAGAAATGCAAGGTTAGTAGTATCTTGGGTTGTTGGTAAAAGATCTTAGGCTAACTAAAACAAAAGTTTTAAATGTTTGTAAAGCTCATAGTAAAGACTTTATTAGGTGACTTTTATTTTACAAACATTAAAAAAATAATTGTCGAAGTATACCAAAACAATTGTCTCAAGCTATCTACATATTTTATTAAGTTCATATATTTTTTTATAAAAAACTGAGACTTTGGATTAGTTTAATAAAAAAATGTTTTTTATGAAAATAAGTAATAGAAAATATTATCAAAGAAACATTTATGCGTAATATAGGAATATCTAAAGGAGTTAAACCACATGGATCTGTTGTGTACGACTCAAACTCATGACCTCCTAATCACAAGTTTACTAGTTACGTCAAGGCTCACAAGAACCTTTTTTTTTTGTTTTGTTTCTAACGGTTTTCGATACCCATATTGGAGTCCAACTAAATTTGAATTCGCGTCAAGAGGTCCGTACGAAAGGGGCTTAAACCCAAAACCTGTTGATTAAGGATGAAGGAGTATTTATCACTCCACTACAACCTTTATTGGTGGCTCGCGAGAACCATTTGCATATGAACTATAAAACCATGGCCTTGATCCACCAGATAAGTTTGATTGCCATCAATGATGCATAAAATGAAAATCATAAAGTTGAAACATTATTTGGTGAAGCATGCAAATGCAAGCAAGTAATAATAAGACAGTACTTTGCCTCTTGCACAAGTTCAACAGTGCTTATTGAGTTATTTGCCTTCCAAACATCAGATAAATCAAGAGAGGCACATAACATAACCCTCTACTGTATCATTGAACTATTGGCAAGTCATATCTGAGTATGCCATCGTATCGATGAGGTTAGCTGCTACGCAGAGGGGCACGGGGAGGGATCTGCAATAGTACAACCAAACTCAGATGCCTGTCTACCTTAAGTTTATAGCCTCCCCTTTGAACAAATGTTGGTAGAATAGACTGATGAAAATTTTGGACATAGTCCTAGGGAGACGTATATCAGAAACGAGTAGAGATTTGTGCAAATAGAGCCTTAAAATCCTTAGTTGGAGTGCCAGTTCCCTCAGGTTTTGAAGCCAGATCAAATGCCTTGAATTTTGCTTCCTCATACTGTAGTGCCTGTCAACACCGAAATACCTCAATGAGTTTAGTCACAGAAGATGAGCAAACAGGCAGCAAAGCTCTAGAGAATGAGGTTTGATGAAAGCATGAAGCGTTGAAACAGACCAAAGTAAAAGCAAAGGACCTATATAGAATCAAAAAAGATCCGAGGCCGCTAGTATACCTGAATGCAGACTTCTGCAACATCAGTCCTAGCAACAGTTTTAGTTTCTGTCTCGAGAAGTTCATCGTCCTTTCCAACAAGTAGTTCCCTTATACCACCTTCTTTATCTTGTAGCCCTCCAGCCCTGAAAAAAAAATAGTGATCAAACAGCAAATCTTAAATGAAATTTGGGATGATTGTAAAATAGAGGTCACACAACAGAAATAATTGACAAGCGAGTGGAATAATAATAAAATGAGGGCGTAAACCTTGGATGAATTTAGGGCTCGTTTGGCCATAAATTTTCCAAATAATATTTGGGAAAAATTTGGCAAATAATGTTTGTCCATACAATTTGTCATTATTTGGCAAATATTTTTGGCAAATATCCCAAATTTCCAAATACTAGTTTTTTCTAGTATTTGGGCCAAATATCATTATTTGGGATATTTTAAAAATTAAAACTTTACCCCAATCTTTTATCTTTTACAAAAACACCCTCTCTAGTATTTGCTTGCGTTGTATTACATCATTTTTTACGTGAACACCAAAATAGTGATGAAATATTTAGTGAATATTAAATAATGATATGATTGTTGATGAAAATTATTAAAAATTGGCTTTAGGTAACAAAGTCATGTACTTTATCTACTTCACGATGTATGGAATAATTCTTGTTGCACTCACTCCAAATTACCACATTGCTTCAGTGTCGTGGACATTATTTGTTATTGTTGTAACTAACATTCAATTGACTTGTAATACAAACTTTTAGTTAGTTTTGATAGTTCTTAAAACTTATGTGTATAAATCATATTTTTCTAAAAAGGTGAAATATATTTCCCAAATTTTATGGCCAAACACATGGTGAAATTTCACCCAAATTTTCACTCAAATAATATTTGCCAAGAATATTTGGAAATCTATGGCCAAACGCTAGCTTAGTGTTTCCCAAGAAGAACTACAGTTTTCTGTATTCACCAGTTGAAAAACATAATTGAGTATAAAACTACACTTTGTCTAACAGTTTGAGCTTTTAAACAAGTTGGACTCACACTTCAACATGGTAAGAGAGTAGGCAAAGATTCAAAGTTCAAGTCTCACCTTTATCCATTTTCAAAGAAAATCTCCATGTGCTTGTATAATGAAAAAGAATTGGGCTAGCATACGAGGGGCTTTGTTGACACCCAATTTCAGACCTTCGCAACATAGTTTAATCACTCAGCTTCTCAACTCCCAAAACGACTTAAAATAATTAGTTCTATAAAATTCAAATATTAAATTTCTTTCATATAATTCTGCATATAATTATTATATTTTTGCGAATATTATACCATGTTAACTTGCGCTTGCACATCTCTCCCCTGCCCCCTTCGAAAACCTGTCAACCTAGAAGCCTAGCAATCCTTCTCTCTGACCTGCCCTCCATTTATCCAACTTCCGTCATGGGAGTCGGATAGCCCTCCTTTAGGACACAATGAGGTATGCATCATAGTACCCATATATTCCTAACCCAGCATTATTTTGGCTCAACAGAATTATTCTCAACTACTAATTCAGTTTCCAAATATGCTTCATACTTCTATCAAATATGCAATCCTTTAACCAATTAAAAAATCACATTTCCAAGCCTTAGAGAATATACTCAACAAACTGTTTGATAGAAAAAACTTCTAAAAGAATTGCTATACTGTAGGATAGTGCAACTCACACATCTTTTGTTTATTTCACACCTAACATGGCATAAATATCTATTAAGAGAACCTCTTAGTATTATAAATGAAAATTTAATGCCATATTTATTCAGCCACAAGGAATATTGATAAAGATATGAGCATTGAACAAACCTTATAATTGTATATGGAATTCCAGAGTCAGCCAAGTATTGTTCAGCCTTTCTTTTCCAAATCTGTAAAAGCATCATCCAAGCTTAAAAACTTGTCACTTGTTAGAGATGTAACACTACCAATGCCCCTGAAATTACATTCTTTTCAAAATAGGTATGGCTCAACAAAATAGTTATCTATCTCCTAAGATGCAAGCATAGAAACAACTTACATATTCAAAAAATGCACTATTCAGGAATGCACTCATTTTAAAAAATATACTCCCTCCGTTTCAATTTGTTTGTCTTACTTTCCTTTCCTTTTGAGTTCGTTTCAAAAAGAATGTCTCTTTTCCTTTTTGACAAATCACTAATTTCAACTTTTCAGAGTACAAGATTAAAAGACATTTTTGTACATTCTACACTACACATCTTTATTTTAAGACCACAAGATTTGAAAATCTTCTTTACCATCGTAAACTTTGTACCAAACCAAAAACAGACAAACAAATTGAAATGGGGGAGTATATTAAATCTTATATGACTTCATAAGCTTCTGATACTCGACAATGAGAAACAAAAACTTGTAGAAAGATGGAACAGGCAAAAGTATGCATGCAGCCACAATATTTTTGCAGCTGTGAAAATGTTTGGACAATGTGGCCATCGAAATGGCAATAGAAATAAAGGAAAGAGAGTACTTTTCAGGGAAAAAGAATCAAGTTACAAACCAATATATTCCCGTTCCCCAAACTGTTCAAGGGGTGGTTAGGATTTGTCCCTCCCATTGACCCAACTAGCACGATCCGCTTCACACCAGCAGCTTTAGCTGTAAAATGCATATTGTATATCTTAGATAAGCAGATAAAAGTGCATTCTAAGTACCAGAACTGCCCAAGATTATTCCATACCAGCATCTATTTGGTTCTTTTGGCCGATCCAATCTACCTAAAAATACAAAGTCAGTAAATTTTGTGTCAGACAACAACTAAGAACCTGAGGACGGATATGAGTACCCAAAACATGATGTACCTGTTCAGGATTTGCCCCATCCTCAAAATAGAATTCAGGTCTTCCGCCTTTTGTTGGATCATACCCGGGTTTCATTTTTGGAACAGCACTTGTAAGAATAACAAGAGCATCAATACCTTGTATAGCAGGAACAAGACTCTCGATATTCCTGATATCACCAATATAAACATCATCTGCACCACCAACTTTTTGTTTGCTTTCCTCTGTTCTAACCAAACCTCTGGCTGTATAAGTCTCGGACCTCTCCTTCAACTTCTTATAGACAATTGATCCTACAATTTGAACAGCATGTCAATAAAAGATCAGCAGAATTGTTGATAGTTTTAGGAACAAGAATATCTCAACTTACATCATACTATAAAGGTCATAGCCAGTTGACATGATCGATTCTAGCATTAGTCATTTATCAAGAAGTTCAAGAGTAGAAAAGACAATTCCAAGAGAAGTTGTAGCTATGGAATACCCAGGTTGAATATTCTTCAACTAGAACCATCTAAGTCATTGTGCGAAAGTTCTTAAATCATTTTAAGTTCAGTCAGGTATTGCCAATTGAAATATGATGATAAATAACCAATAGTCCAACTAAATTTGGTTTAAGAGCGTACAAGCTATGAATATATGACCAACTTTCACCGTCGGAATCGACCAAATTGGTGGATGATCCTAAGTCCTAAGAGATAAATGATAATACCAACAGAAGAAAAGTACCTTGAAAGCTATCCAGAGCCTCCTTTGATAGATTTGAGAAGTAATGCAATTATGACAACAGTTTACATATTGTTGTAACAAAACTTTAAAGCTAAAAATGGGTCTCATCGCTTGAGCTCCTATCTCTTTTGAAAGGGGTAAAAGAAAGATAAAAACTTTATGTTCTAGAACAATATGTAACACTCAAAGGTGTGCTCTAAGTGGTCAATGAAGTGGATTGAGAACTATGAGGTCTAAAAGTTCAAATCTACTCACCAAAACATTATGTGATCTCTTCCCATTTGTTCAACCCTTAGTGGACAGACTACCGAGCACCACAACTGGTGGAAGCTAAAAGGTAACCAATGTAATTAGTCAAGGTGCGATCAAGCTAGCCCGAGCACCACAATAAAAATGTATCAGTTGATTTCCTCTCCACAATTTTTCCCCAAATAATCCAATGATGTAATCATCATATGCCTTAGCTAGGTCTCATTATTATCACACTCACAAATCTAATACCTCAATCCCACATTACTCATTAACATTACTTCCCCAAAATCCAAAATCATAAACAGAATCCCCAAGAATTAGCACCCTAAAAACTACATACACAATTTTTGGGGAAAAAAGTTATAATCTTTTTTCATAATTCACACCCCATAGCCACAAAATATTAGTAGTTCCAGAAATCTTCACATTAAAAAGGGCAGCCTGGTGCATAAAGCATTCTGCATTAGCCTGAACACCCCAAGATATCCCAGGACAGTCTACCCTCATACAAGAATTAGTGGCTTGAATCCATAACCTATAGATACAACACAACTTTACCATTGTTCTAAACCCCTAGTTACTTCCAAAAGGATAAAAACACTGAACCAAACACAATTTCATTAAAGATTATCAAAACCAAGAAACCCCAAAAGCATAAAAAAAAAAAAACTTTACCAGTTCTTCCACCAGCACCAGTAACAAGAACAGTGCTTGTGTTCAAATCAGCCATTGCCAACACAGAAAATCTGCAAAATTTCTTGTTTTTCTTTGGAAATGAAACAAATGATGAGGTATTTTTTACAAGTGAAGAAGACAATTCTGGAAGTCTCTGATTTACCAAACTTAATTTATGGCTTTGGTAAGGAGATACACGTGTCAAGGCAGCCATTTTTATAGCCAAAGAAACTTTTTTTTTAGTAGTCCATTCAAGAATCAAATGTATTGTGTGAAACTTATTTAGAGTCAAAAGAGATTTTTGTACATTTTCTTATCCATTTATTAGATTTTCATGTCACCTTATCAACTTCTCATGGGGTTTTATCGACTACTTGTTGGGCCTATGAAAGTAAACCTCATGTGGTTTGAAGTCACACCCTATCATTGGGCCTAAAGACACACGTTGCTCGTTGGCAAACAACACTTCTTCTCTCGCTCGTCGAAACAAAAAGTTTACACGCCTCTTACTATATTCGCTATAAAGAGTCAAATCTCCAATGGTTATACACCTTTTATCATATTCACTATAAGGAGTCAATCTTCATTAAAAGTAAGTATAATTATTGGTTACAATTTGTTTAGTTATGATTTATAGCTATGATATTTGAGTTGTATCTATTCGTTCAATCAAGGTATATTTATATGTTCAATTTTGTTGAAAACGTTATATTTGGTTTGCCCACCGTAGTTGCATTAATATATACAATTTCGTAGGATATATTGTAGGCCAACTTTCACATATAGCAAACCAAAAAAAAAAACATATTTGTATGATGTAGCAAAGTTTGCATATTTGCGCTCCATAGCAAACATATAAATGTATAATTTGCTATACATATACAATTGTATAATTCGTTGGCCTATTTCGCTGCAATATTTGTATAAAATTTGCATTTGTATACAATTGAATCGAAGTAAAATGTTTGTATATTGTATAATTATACGTGTATAGGAAGAAAATATATGTTTTTGCATGTGTATATATACAATATTCTCTCGTTTTACACAAAACGGAAACACAACTTAATTGTATAAGTATATGTTCTTTTTTGTTGTGCTTTTCAATTGTATATGTATATATGTGTAATATGTATATAAGAATAAAAATTTGTATTAGTTGAATTTGTATATGTATGAGAAAAGTCGTGATTTTTTTTTCTTTTTTTAAATACGGCTATATGCCTGAAGCAGACGCCATTTAATTATATAATCTATTTCTGAATCTTGTCAGTTTTGTAACAGTCTCCGAAGAAACAGTCATTTTCTTGCCATTTCGCTCGGAGAAGTAGGTATAGCAAATTATATTAAACAATAGCTGCAAATTGGAAATAAAGTAAACTATAGTCATAACATTTAATTTAAATTGATAGTTTGCTATTATATACAATTTTCCTAATATATATGTTTGGTCAACCTAAGTTTTATCTAACACATATATGCACAGAAATGAAAAACATTATATTTGCACTATGTATTTGTATATTAGCATATACAAATACATTTAAAATCATCACCTCAAAATGTCACACATACAACTAATATATATGGGCATAATTTCTGAAATTTGTACAACAAAAAGAAGAAAAATAAAATCAGAAAAAGACATAAATTGTGTGGTATTTTCAAAAATTGTAGGAGAGTACATTAATTGAATTTATGCTTTTTGGGCATTTATTATCTATCCTTTTTTGAGAGAAAGAAAAACACATGAATCTAACATAAAATTGGATGAATTATTTGATTTTTAATTTGTCTTTTTAGCAATTAAATGCATATCTAGCGGGTAGCAACCGAAGTCGTGTGGGTCATAATTTAAGGATAATTATATTCCGTGAAAATACAAAAGTACTTTCATCCACAAATTTTTATTGAATAAATAATGACGACATATAATAACTTGAAAATTAAAAAATAAAAAATCTAACATCAATCCATTTATGGAATAATTTAAATATCATCAAAAGCCAAAATTATATTGTTAGTGAAAAAACTTACAAGATAATAAAATTGAAAGATTACAATTGAAAATAAAATGAAGAAAATAATCTCTTTAGGCTGAGGCGCGGATATCTCGCTCTCTTTAAGGAGATTCAAGCCCACTGCAGCAAATGTTTTCACCGCTCCAACAGTAGTCTTCTTTGACTTGTCCCCTCCAGGATACAACAACCTTCACAAAGTATAACTCAACAACTCTGGACAAGAGTTGAGTCCAAAGCTCCACAAAAAAGAACACCTCCCTTCAACTAATAAGAATTCTCTTTTAGACTAACTCTTTCACTCTTTGTTTTCTCTTATGAATTGTGTGTATTTAAAACCAAATGAAGACTACCACTATTTATACTACAAGAAGTCTTTCTAGCAATGAATAGGAAGATAATGGAAGTAGTAAATAGTGAAGATAATGGCCTTAGAAGTTACATAGGTTACAATTGGAGTTATATAGGTTACATATGTTACAATGAGAGTTACATAGGTTACAAAGAGTAATGGAGGAATTAAGAATGAAATACATTGATGGATAACCAATGCTAATGGATGATGTAGAAGTCTGTCGAGAGTGCTCCTGTAAGATTAATACTTCACCCATATGGGCTACAAATATTCATTAAGAGTTTTATTAACTCAACCTTCACAAACTACAGGAAATAATGCACTCACATCATAGGGAGAGGAAAAAATAGTGCATTTTTCACAACAAGTCATCATATGATCAGGTTTTCCCTTTGAACCTGGTTATAGGATCTCTAGTCCCCACGTTGGGTTTCCTCATATATGACTCAAGGATTTGTAGGCTTCAATCCCATCCCCCTCGATGTGCTCCAGACCTTTTCTCTTGTTAAGGCCTTCGTAAGAGGATCTGCAAGATTATCACAAGATTTGACATAATCAACATTAATAGTACCATTTGTCAAATACGATCTTACATTATTGTGTTTCCTTTTTATAGGTCTGGATTTACCGTTGTAATAATGGTTTTGAACTCTACCAATTGCAGCGATGCTATCACAATGAATTAAAATAGGAGGAATTGGTTTTTCAAAATAAGGAATTTGAAACAATAAATCTCTTAACCAATTCGCTTCCTCACTAGCTGAAGCTAAAGCAATTAGTTCAGCCTCCATGGTAGAGTTAGCAATTATAGTTTGCTTTTTTGATCTCCAACAAACAGCACCACCACCTAAAGTAAAGACATACCCAGTGGTAGAATAGGAATCACCTGACAAAGTGTTCCAATCCGCATCATGAAAGCCTTCAAGTACAGCAGGATATTTTTTATAGAACAAACCAAATTTTTTGTTCCAATCAAATATCTCATAACTCTTGTTATAGCATGCCAATGTTCATTATCTGGCTTGCTTGTAAACCTGTCAAGTCCTCCTACTGCATATGCAATATCAGGCCTAGTGCAATCAGTCACATATCTCAAACTTCTGATTATACTAGCATATTCCTTTTGATTTATTACATCATTTTCACTTTCAACAGGAAATAAGTGAACACTTGAATCAAAAGGAGTAGCAACATGCTTGGAATCATGAAAGTTATATTTTTTCAAAATTTTCTCAACATAATGTGACTAGTCAAGGAAAATCCCCTCATGTTCTTGTTATTTTTATTCCAAGAATAAAATTTGTCTCACCAAGATCTTTCATATCAAAATGGCTTTTAAGAACATTTTTAACTTCATCAATAGCATTCATGTTAGAGACAAAGATCAACAAATCATCAACATATAGGCAAATAATCACATGAGAATTATTCCAAGACTTATGATATATGCACTTATCACACTCATTTGTTTTAAAACCATTTTCAATCATGCAGGAATCAAACTTTCATGCCATTGCGTTGGTGCCTGTTTCAAGCCATATAGGGATTTAGTAAGCTTACGTACTTTGCTTTCTTGGCCTACTTCAACAAAATACTCGGGTTGGTCCATATAAATTTCTTCATTTAGGTCTCCATTTAGAAAAGCAGTTTTTACATCCATTTGATGAATTTGCAAATCAAAAATTGCAGCCATAGCAACTAAAAGTCTAATGGATGTAATTCTTGTTACCGGAGAAAAAGTATCAAAAAATTCTAGGCCTTCTAGTTGTTTAAAACCTTTTGCAACTAGCCTAACTTTGTATTTATCAATAGATCCATCCGGTTTCAACTTTTTCCGTAAGACCCATTTTCACCAATTGTTTTACAACCCGGTGGTAAATCAACTAACTTCCAAGTTTTATTAGAAATTAGAGATTCCATTTCATCATTTACATCCTCTTTCCAAAAAATAGAATCATGTGAAGATAATGTTTCTTTCAAAGTTAGAGGGTCATTTTCAACATTAAACACATAAAAATCAGGACCAAAATCTTTTTTTGCTCTAGCTCTTTTACTTCTTCTTAACTCAAAATCAACAACTTCTTTATTTTTCAAAGTTGAAGTAGAAGAACTAGGTAGTGACAAAATATTTTGTTCAATCCTTTGACCCCCGCTATTTTTAGTATCAAAAGGAAATTTATTTTCATGAAAAATAGCATCACCAGATTCTATTACAATATTATCTTCAAGATAAAAAAAACTATAGGCTTGTACTATTTGAAGCATAACCAAGAAAAGCACAAGTAGTAACTTTCTTACTCAACTTTGTAATCTTTGGATCCATTAGCCTCACAAAGGCTAGACAATCCCAAACTCTTAGATATCCCAAACTTGGCTTCTAATCTTTCCACAATTCAAAAGGTGTCAATTTAGACTTTTTATGAGGCACACGATTCAACACATAACAAGCAATTAAGATAGCTTCACCCCAAAAATTTAAAGGTGCATGTGACCCAATAAGCATGGCGTTAGTCAATTCAACCAAAGTTCTATTTTTCCTTTCTGCTACTCCATTAGACGAAGGAGAGTAAGGAGGAGTTAGTTTCATGAATTATTCTCAATGATCTAACAAAAGAATTAAACTTATTTGATTCATATTCACGGCCTCTATCACTTCTAATTCTTTTTATTTTTCTTCCAAACTGATTTTCAACCTCATTGAGATAAGTTTTGAAATTTTCAAAAGCATCACTTTTAGTTTTCATCAAGTAAACATATGTAAACTTAGAAAAATCATCAATGAAAGTGATAAAATATCTATTACCTCCACGAGTTAGAATTCCACCAAGTTCACAAATATCAGTATAACTAATTCTAACAAATCAGTTTTTCTTTCAACTTGAAAATGAGGCCTTTTAGTGATTTTGGCTTTACTACAAGCCTCACATT